ACGAATGGAAATGATCATAGTTATACCGACAAAAAATATTATTAAGGGGTTAAAAAAAAAAAAGAATGAAATTATTTATTATTAATTTACTTTTTAGGAGGTTTTCATTGATAAAAATGTAAATAATGAAATCTCGGAATCGATTTTAACAACAAAAAATGAAAATTATAATGATTCAGTACTATCAAGTTCAAATATTGTTATTAATGAGGCGTCAAGCTTGTTAAGCAAATTATTGAGATTTGGATATTGAAGAAGGTGAACTAGAAGAAACGTAGATACGTATTAATTCAAGACTTGAATCGATATTTGGACGCTCTAATGAATTAAATACTGAGATTACCGAAGAATCAAAAATAAATATTTGTTACTTATTCAAGCTCTTCAAGATTCTATATTTGCAAAAGAATATCCTGTTAGTAAATGGGAAGAAAAGGCGTTAAATACTTTTGGTAACTATTGTAATTTATTCCAGCTTTTCTTTTGAGTTATTTTATTATAAGATTGAAAGTTATTAATAATATTTTTTTATAGGCTCGTATTTAAACTCTTCTGAACGGTTCAATGAAAGAGAAAAAAATAATAAATCAAAATCACCTGAGTCTATTGACACAAGTCTCGATAATAGTTTATCAGACATTGGTAGTATTGAAAATAAAGAAAATTATAGAAGATTAACTAAAAAAGGTTAATTTTATTTTTAGATCAATTTTTGTATTATTATTTGCTTATGTTATATTATAATATTTAGAACTGAAACTATGGCAAAAAATAGCTCATGCCTTGCTTAATCCTGAACCTGAAACTTGTTCTCTTCAAGTTAAAGCTTTAAATAACAATATTTCTTTTGTTTTAAAAGAAAGCTATAGTTCAATGAATTTTAAGGAACCAATCAATTTTGGGGATGATATTAAAACGATACAAGAAAAATTTAAAAATTGGATAAATGTAAACAATGTTGCAACTAAAGTACAAGACGAATTAGAATATTACAAGCTTTGCCATTTTTTTAAACTCCTCAATGGATATGCAGTACTTTATAAACTTGTAATAAAAGAACTGCAAAATAACTTCAAAAATCTCAGTCTTATAGAAAAAATCAAGAATGTAATTTCACTCGAGCAAATGCAGATGAAATGCAAAAAGAAAATAGATGAGATGTCAAATTAAAATAAATCTAAATTTAGAGTCCAACAGAGCAGAAAAACGAATTTGGTAGTGTTATAACGAATTTATTTCATTTTAGAAAAAAAAATAAAATCAATAAAAGAACTCTCCAAGGCAAAGACAATGTCTAGATTCTTTCAAATTATGAATAAAGAGGATTTTAACCTTTTTTTAAATAAAATTTCTGACAAGGAATTTAAGAAATTTTCTATACCCAATAACGTGGATGATATTGCTATAAATTTTGAAGAATTATCTTTATTAAAGTAAATTACTAAATTGGAATTTTTTTGCTAATATTTAAATATATGCTGAATAAAATCTATAATAAAGACATTAATATATTTATTATTAAAAAAGGTTAGTAGAACAAAATATACTATAGACTTTAGATAAAAAATACAGATAAAGAAAATAAAGTGAATAAATTAAAAGAGGATATTGTTGAATTAAACAAAGAAAGAGGGAAAAAAGAATCGAATTAAATGGGTTATAAGAGACAAAAATAAAGATATAAAAGCGTGAAATAAAAAATAGAAGTGCTCGAAGCTGATATATTGAAATTAATAATGAATTACAAAGAGAAAAAATACAATTAATTATATTTTTTTTCGATGTTTTTATTATATTTTTTTATTTGTTTATTTTTATATTAAATAAAATATTATGCTTAACACTATAAAGTATTATAATAATATGAAACAAATCAATTAAAGTTAGTTTATTATGATTTTAGTAGATAAAGAAATAATAATATATGTTTAAAGATAATTAACCTATAATGATAAATTATATTGTTATAATATGATATAAACAATGAAGTTTTATATGAGAGGAATTGAATAGTTATTTTTAATATGATGAAGTATCTAAAAATATTCTTAATATTTGCGTTACTTAATATTTTAATATTGAGCATAGTTTTGTTTACTCAAAGATGTGTTAATGATACGAGAGATAAAAATAAATATTGTAGCTCTAATAACGTGAAATAGAAAAGCATAAAGCATTTATATATCATCAGAAATCAGCTGAGGCAGGTAATTCTAATGGAATTTTTAAAACTGCCATTTGTTACAGATATGGAATTGGCGTG